TTCTTCTTCGGTTGTTGCTCTCGAGAAGAGAAAGGAGATAGGAGAGAGGAGAAGAGAGAGATATATATATATATATTGTTCTTTCTTGTAATCGTCGAGGCGATCGACGGGTGTAATCCTCAAGCTAATAAAATCCTCTGCACCTACATGGATGTAGACAATTTGACGAACCACGTAATAATGTGTGTTTCGTTCTGCACCTACATGGATGTAGACAATTTGACGAACCGCGTAAATATGTGTGTTTCTGTTTTAGTAAATTTCTCGATTTGGTTTTCTCTTTACTGCCACCGTTTTACACAACAATAGTTGTATGAAAGATATTAATAGACCATCAATAAATTTTCATCATCATGCAAAAAACTCGAAGCATGACACAAATATCGAGGAATTTTTTTAGCAATGACTACCCAAACTTAAACTAAAAGTCATTCAAAGCTCTCATTTTAGTAAACTTATACTAAAACTAATCTACTCAACAGGGGGGCACAATGATACCAAATTTGATTCAATTTTGAGTGGAATAAAGCCTTAGTTAAGTCGTTAAACTATTTTTTGAAGCATTCAGTGTATAAGTTGAAGGTCAAATAAATTTTAAATATAATATGCTTACAGTTGAATCAAGCGTTTTGACGAGACAAATCCAACGAGTTTAATATCGCTCAATTTTGACATTATTAAGACACTCAAAGTTCGTCGATTATCATTTAATCGTGTGAATCTGTCCGAGTTGTTTGATATAGTTGTATCAATTCCTTATTTATTTATAATATGGACTTCATAAATAAAACTCTACCCCATCTTAAGAAGGAGACCTAGACCATGAGTTAGAAGAAGGTTGAAGCTTTGGAAAAGAAGTTGAAGTCTAGCATCGCTTCTGCACTGCAGTTCCAACGAATGCATTCCACTAGGGTCATTGAAGTAGCCTCCAACCAACTCTGTTTACCTTCGTCGACCACAATTGGCCAACTCCGACTACTTCCGCCGACTAAAACCAACCAACTCCGGCCCTCGATGCCGGCCAAAACCAGCCAACTCTGAACCTCGACACTAACCAACGTCAGCAAACTTCGCCCAATGCTGTCAGCCAGTTATGGCCAACTTCGATCGTTGCTACCACATGCTCCTTATAGTGAAGCTTATTGTAGAGTCACAATGTGCATCGTGGAATCCCAACAAAGAATGTGGAACCCCAGAACACCTGACAAAGCAATACATAGTCTAAAAGACGATGTAACAACACATCATGAATACGATACATTGGCAGACCCTAGTGATGGTGTAGCAATACCCTACATACGGTGTGACGATGCATCCTAAAGACGGTATAACAACGCACCATGATTATTGTGTAGTGACTTGTCAAAACGATGGTGTAGCAATGTTCCCCAAACAAAATGCAACCCGAAGAGGGTGTAGCAACACAACAGGAATATAGTTCAATGACACACTTCGATAATAATGTAACAATGCACCCCACATATAGTGAGACAATGCTTTTGTTAGCGTCATTTTTCAATGTCATGAGCGTAGGATGTCCGATTAAAAGACCACAGGGACCATAGGGTATGCTTCAAGCGCATATGACTCCCTGAGGCTCTATATATGTACATCTTCAATCCTCAGGCAAGTGGTCAAGATCATGTTGCTAGGCTTTGGTTGTCGATGAGGTGAGGGCTGATCGGTATTACAATGACGGGACGATCCTGACTATATGAGTTTTTTTTGGTGTAGCACGAACTAATCAGGCCCTGAATTTACTTTCTTTTGAGGAATTATCCTTTAAATAACTCCAAATGGTGGAATAGATAGCGCAAATGCGTCCGGAACTTTGTTTTCTCTTATGGAGAGCCTTCTAGGTCTTGTTGTGTGGCTTAAACCACAAAAAAATAGGAAAATAGCCCCAAGTAAACTAGGTGTGACCACACCCAATAGCGGGTAAGCCTTCAACTTGTTTTGATTCATTTTCTGGTTCTTGTTTTCCATCTGGATGTCGTCAGACTGTCGAGATAAGCCAATCAAAATGGTCTCTTAGCTAACATGAGTGTTTGCCAAAAGAGCCAAGTGGTCATTCGAACATCTACACCAGAAGAATATTCTTCTTGCGGAGGATATTTGGATAGAGGACACTCATTTCACTTAGTGGGAGAGTCAATAGCGATCACAGAGAGCCTATGATGGTTTGGGGGTGCTGGGAGAGCTTCTTCACCGAGCTTCTTCTTCTTCTTCTCTATTTTTTTCTTCTTCCTCATCTCGCATTTTCTTTCTCGGTTACCGTCATGTTCTGAGAAACTGAGAGGAGAGACATAGAACTTGAAAAGCAATCACAGGAGTGCTCGAAGAATTTTAGAGAGTTAGCTTCTTTGTTCTTCTTCTTCCTCCTCTTCACCATTTTCTTTTCTTTTTCCTCCTCTTGCATTTTCTTTCTTGATCACTGTCTCAAACCATGAAAATAGATCTTTTGGTTTTTGATTGTTCATCTCAGGGTGATCACTAGCTCTTTTTGGGTTGATTGACTGAACACTTTGTGTTTGATTACCCGCTTTAGGTTCGATCGGCCGCCCGACCCGATTAACCCATTTTTGTGCTTGATCGGCCGCTCCGACCCGATCACCTAATCTTTTTGGGTTTGATTGACTAACCACTGTGTTTGATCATCCACGGTGGGTTTGCTCGATGGCCCAATCTTTGGGTTTAATCAATCGTTCAAGTCCAATCACTCCATCTTTTAGGTTCGATCGTCCACCATCAACCGATCACTTTGGTTTGATTGAGCACAAAAGCATGTTTGACCGATCATTTTGGGTTTCATCAGTCGCTTAGGTCAGCCTATTTTTTTTGTTCGATCGACCACCTCGACCCGATCGCACGATCATTTGGGTTTGGTTTGCAGTCCAGTGTGATCACCCGCTATTTTGAGTTTGATTGAGCGCATTGGTTCGATCACTTTCTTTGGGTCCGAACAACTGTCTTTGTTCGATCAGCCCATTTCCCAGGCTCGATCTACTACCTCGGCCCAACTGCTCGATCTTTTTGGGTATGATCGACTGTGTTGGTTGGATCGCCCATTTTGAATTTGATCGGTCGCCCTAGCCCAAATCACATAATCTTTGGGTTTGATCTACCGTTATGGTTCAATCACCCTATATTTTGGGTTTGATCGACCATTTTTGTTCGATCATCTGATCACTTCAATTCGATTAGCTACCCACACGATCGACCCATCACTTTGGGTTCAATCGTCTGCTCCGGTTTGATTACCCTATCTTCTGGGTTCGATCGGTGCTCGGGTCAGATCACCTAATCACTTTGATTTGATCGATTGCCTCAACACAATAAGCCGATCACTTTAGGTTCGATTAGCCGCTCCGGTACGATCACCCTATCTTTTATATTCGATCGACTGCCCCGACCTGATCTACTGATCTTTTGGATTTGATCAGTCATTCTGGGGCGGTCACAAACACTTTTAGGTACGATTGGTCACACTCGTTTGCTCACCCGCTTTGGATCTGATTGGTGGCCCTGACCCGATTAAGTCAATTTTTGGGCTCGACGGCCGCCTTGACCAAATTGCAAAATCTTTGTGTTTGTCGGTCATTCCAATTAGATCTCTTTATCTTTTGAGTTTGATCGACCACTTTGCTCCGATCACTTGATCACTTCGAAGAGTATTTTTAGCTTTGTAGTTGGGCCTCTTCCTTTATTTATTTCCTGTGACATCCTTGCTATTTCGACATGTATAAATCTCACATTTTGGTGCTCGGCCTTATAATTATGGGATAAAGTTTTGTTCTTTTGAATTTAGGGATACTGTGGTCCCCGTGGATGATGCAATTCACGAACTCCTAATCGAGGATCTCTAAACATGTTGGGTCGACTACCTTCATGACCAGGTAGACATAATGTCCTATTAATTTAGGATGATGGGTTTGTGGTATCCCGACTTGACTACGTCTACCTTTTAGAATTACTCCATCCTTCCTCTTGATGACCCCCTTTCGGCTCTGTCACTCATTTGACTTCGTTAATATCATCGTGACACCTTGATTGGTGATGAGGTGTCACCGGTTCAGGATACATTGATTCACCCTCTGCCCTTATGGTTTGGTGAGCTATGACGTATGGGGATATCCCTGTTGAGATGATTTTAGTTATTTTATAAGTTTTGATGTCGACAAGTCGCTACCCATTTTGGATGTGAGAGACTCACTCTCTGCCTTGTGGTTTAGTGAGAGCTTTGAAAGCATTAGAGCTTTCTCATACAAAATAACTATCATTTGATGACTTATTCTTAAGGTTCACGATAATATAAGAAAAATTATATTTATCAAGAGTATTCTTGGGTATCCCTTATGATGCAATTAACCAGAGGGATGCGTTCCTCTGGGAGACTCTTGACCCCATAACAAAAAAATATTTTTTTTGTTGTTGTCTGGTTACAGGTGGCTTACGTTGACATTCTTTTTGTGGATGCTACTTTTTAGACACTTTGATCTGATCCTATTCGAACGTATACTCTTGACCCATCACAGGATGATCACTCATATGCAAGCCTACTGTTTGTTTCTTTTTATTGTTTGTTTATTTATTGTCATATATCAGTCTTTTAAATTTATCTCATATTTGAATCATTGATATAATTCAGGAAAGAGATTTATTTGAATAATAAAATTATACAGTAATATATAAATAGACAAACTGACAATTTTAAGTCTTAAAAAAATAACCAAGAAAATAATGGTGTAACAATGCACTCAAAATATAGTGCAACAACACAACCCAATGATGGTGTCACAACACACCTCATATACAATGCAACAATGCATCATGAAGACGGTGTATCAATGCAACCCAAAGACGATGACTTTCTCCAGGCTCCTAAATCTTTTTCCTTGCA